TGCACTTGCCCTTGTTGAACCGCATCCTGTTCAGATCCACCCACTTCTCTAACCTATCCAGGTCTGCCTGGGTACGGTCCCTGCCTGCTGGTGTATTCACTTTACCCCACAGCTTGGTGTCATCAGCGAACTTGAACAGGGTGCTCTCCACACCCTCATCCAGGTCGCTAATGAAGATATTGAACAGCACCGGCCCAAGGACCAAGCCCTGGGGTAATCCGCTGCTCACACCCTCCCAGGTCGACATCGACCCGTCCACCACCACCCTCTGGGTGCGCCCCTGGAGCCAGTTTGCCACCTGCGTGACTGTGCATTCGCCAATGCCACAGTCCCTCAGCTTGCCCACCAGAATTGGGTGGGACACTGTGTCGAAGGCCTTCTGGAATTCCAAGAAGATAACATCGACTTCCTCCTTCACATCTAAGCTTTTTGTTACCTGGTCATAGAAAGAGACCAGGTTAGTCAGGCAGGATCAGCCTGACACGAACCTGTGTTAGTTACCCTTTGACATCACTTCCCCTGCAGAGCTCTCACAAATGTGGCCCTTTTCCAGCCCTCAGGGACTTGCCCCAAACACCAGAAGTCCTCAAACAGCCGTGCCAATGGCTCCACAATGACACCAGCCAATTCCCTCAGCACCCACAGATGAAGGTCATCTGGGCCCACCGACTTGGATACATCTAAGCCCTCCAGGTAATCCTTAACTAGGTCTGAACTAACAGCTGAGGAAGTCACAGGAGATACGCAGATTTATACCGGCTGCACAAAGGAGTTTGGAGAAAATTCTGACTAGGGCTTAATTTTGTTGTCTGTGAGCAATTTTTGTACTTATATCTCACATCCAGCCACTTATGTTTTAAATAGATAGTGTTTAACATTGCCCCCCGCCAAAAAAAAAACTTAGTGAAATATGCAAAAAACTACATACACACAGACACATTCACACCTTTGGCTCTAAAAAAAAAAAAAAAAAAAAAAATCACGAAAGCATTCAACAATGTACAATGCCTCAGAAACCCAATCACGTCTAAGGAAGAGGACAAGGTTTAAGGGGTGAGATTAATTTTGGGGAAGGATATCAGGGCAACTGTGCTCCTATGTGAAGCTCAGTAAGTTCTTTAGTGTCACCATGGCACCTATAATCTGATTTTTGAAGGTTTCAACTGAAGGACCCCCACCCCACACAGAGTAAACCACATGGCACTCCATTTAGCTTTAAAGGGATAAAAGGCTGAGCCAACTCTACAGGGAGCCTAGGTGAGATGGAAGAAGCTTCTGTAAGCCCGTTGTTAACAAAATTTCCTTCATCTGTAGCCAGCATAGATTTTGAGCCCTTTTTCTTGTGAAAAGCTGGTAAAACAAAGCAATGTAAGCCACTGCGAGGAGTAAAAGAAATATTCTTTTGGGCTCTCAGTGTGACATAAAGTTGGAGAAACCCACTCCACAAGTCTCATGATATTCTGATAGCATTATTCTCTTTGAGTCCCAAAACATCAACCTGTTGACCCTCTCTCAAACACCTATACTGGCCCCTTAGCTTGGAAGTGCAACATTTCTCCTTCATAGCTGATTTCCAATGATAAACCAGTTTCCATATGAAAGGGACTACATATCAAGGCTTTCACACTTGTTTAATCCAATCAAGGAAATCTGTAGCTGTCTTCAACATAGAAAAATTAAACCTTTCTCCTCCTCTCTGTCACCCACAAATACATCCCCCCTCCCCACCCCCACAACACACACACACACACACACACACACACACACACACATATGCTTACTCTGTTGTGGTTGTCAGCTCCTCTGTAACATGAGCTGTCTGGAGAAGGCCTTCCCGTTTCTGGAAACCAAGATATAAATCAGAAACTAGAACTGTAATGAAAGGCAAGCTCATTAAGTGATTTGCAGCAGCCATCTCTTTTCTGAGTCCCAAAGGGCACATGCATTTTACGTAGCTTGTAAAATAAGGTTTTTGTAGGAGTAGGGAGCAAGTTATCTGACAGAGAAGTTAACCCTAAGAACAGTGCTACCTATCAGACTGACAGCCAAATAAATATTTAGGAGGCATATATATAATTACATTCAACACACTAGCAGTTGCCCTCAGGAGACCAGAACCTCATTTTTGCCTGAAACACAAGGGAGAGAGTGAGTTTGCCAGCTCCATCCTAACTCCCCTATGGGTATTTGTTCACAACACAAAAATCAACCAACAATTTCACACAATTGGCAGCTTCAGTCTCCAGAGAGGTCTAAGTCTTGATGATTAACTCAGGTCAGAGTTCAGCTATCAGTATGCGTGGGAAGCTTGCACAGTATAAGACTCTAACTGAGCCTATGAGTCAGTACCTTGATGTCATGACAACAAAATCTACCAAGAAAACATAAGGGAAAAAGGGCTGTTTTAGAATGGAAGCTATTCTCCTTTACTGGACTCCTCAGGAGGATTTCCTCTAATTTACAGAGAGTCAGCGTGGGGTAAGATGCAGGTACAAAGTGGTTTTAAGCCAGACTTAACTGAAACACGGCCTTATGATGCAGACTCTAATCACACTATCACAGCAGGTCCTGGAAAAATCCAAATTAGCTGTGAACATAGTTTGTTGCTACTATTGAATCTACCGGTCTGGTATTTTCCTGACCAAGTACTGAACTAGTGCTTTCACATACTAAAACATTTCCTAGCATGTCCTTCCACTGAGTATGTGGGAACCCTGCAAAACTAAAGGACTCCCTATTTCATTCAAAATGGAATGTTTCTTTTTTCTTCACTCAAAGCTTTGAGCTGCCTAGAAGAAGTCAGTTCCCAAAAGCGGACAACAAAGGCAGGTTTGTCAAATGACTCATGACTAAATTAATTAAGGCTGCTACCAGCTTTAGTTTTCAAGACAAAGCATCACAAGGCTAAAACCCTTCCTAAATATTCCTTGGCCTCTGAATGAGTTTTGCTAACTGAACTCTAAATACTGGGCAACAAATAGTTGTTAAGATGATCTCCAGAAAGAACTTCAATACCAGCTTCTGACTAGGGCTGTGCAAAATTTCGCCAGCTGCTTCATTTTGACGCTGTTTTGACTCGTTTCAAGCTCAAAATAGCGAAATCTAAAGAAAACTAAATGAAAGGCATCGAAACAGCCTTGAAACAAAACAAGGGCAGTCAAAACATTTCAAAAGTTTTGAAACATTTCGAGTTTCGAAGCTGGGCTTGCCTGCAACTAAAGAGAAACTAAGGAGAGGGAAGAGAAAAGGGGGGAAGGACTGCTCTGATATTGACTATGTAGCTAGCCAGTGACTGTGATCCTTCCCTGAGGTCCCTTCCAATCCCAGTGCTCTGGGGGATGGATGGAAAAACATCATAAAAAGCACAGCTTGAACTGAGCTTTCTCTGTGCCTTCACACTTACAAGTGACACAAGTTTTTCTCTGAAGAGTTTGAGGTGCAGTTTCCCAGAAACGCCTGCACCCATCTCATAGAAATGTGGCAGGCTTCATGGCCTTAGAAGGGGCTACCACCCCTGCAAGTTTAATTTGAATCAGGCAAGAAATAACAAAGTTATAGGCAGCTTCGTGCTTCCCCATTATAGCCTATGGGCAAAACGTCAAAACAGCAAAACAGTTTTGATGAAACAAAACACTGTCCTGTCGAAATGGTGAAACAGAAGTCGAAAAGAAATGGTGCTGTTTCACACAGCCCTATCTCTGACCTGTAAGTCCACCTACTGGAGAATTGCTGCAGGAATACCAGACTTCTTATTAGCACTGAGGCCACATGTGCTGCAAATCTGAAAATAGAGAGGGGCAAAAAGGGCCCTGTTTAGGTAAGCCTGGAAGATGACAATGCTTGAGCCACACAAAAAATAACCAACAAGAGCAGGACTTAAGAACTGCCTTTATGTTGACTTCCTAATAAGTCCCTTTCTATTTTCCTGCTTTAAACTTCTTCATGATAAATACCTGATGGATGGGAATTCATGTTCTAAGTGACAATGAAAATCCAGGAGCTGGAAGTTAGCAGGGAGGGAAAGCTCAGGATGTTCTGTTCCCTATCACAGGCAGGTACCTCAGAGTTCCCTTGCCTTTTGTAGAGAGCATTTAGTAATGCAAACATTAAAGAAACTCTGGAAGTGCCTGTATAGCCTTGCTAAGCCAGCACCTGAGGCAGCTACTTAAAGGTTCATAACAACCAACAGACTAATATGAACACTTGTTGCTCTGGGGGACTATGAACATGGCTTTGGAGCTCAGATTGCTGGCTTATTTCACAATCAAAGCAAAGTAATAGTGAAGACCAAGAAACAATCATCCTGACAGTCAATATGAAGCAGTGCTTAATCCTTATTGTGTTAAATCTCCCAGCCCCTGAACTTAGGCTCAGCATCATCTGGTGGTACCAATCATAAAATAGTGATTAAGCAAAAACCAGGTTTCCTCAGGGCTATTCTCTTCCGTTTTCTGTGGAATATATTATATTTCACAGAATATATATATTATTACGTGTACAGCAGAGATGAAAGCTCTCTATGCTAAGACAAGTAAAGCAGAGAAAGACCCCTCTAAAACCTAAGCTTGCAAGACTCTGCAGTGCACACACAAAAGAGGGATGATGAACCCAGATGAAATTACACAGGTCTCAGCTATCAAACACAATCCAGATTTCAAAGGCACGGGACAGTTTGTATTACATCTCTCAAGAGCTCAATACATCTCTTGCTCTAACCTACAGCAAGCTGTTATCATTACATTTAAATTTTACTCGGTAGAATCATAGAAAGTAGAAAATGAAATGACCAGCTGGATCACTAAATGACTACTCAATGTGTTATTTGCTAAGCATAAAAAGCACTAACATCTCTCTCATTGGAGACCACAACGGCTTATCTTACTCCCATTTAACAGATGGGGAAGTTGAGTGATTGATTTTCAGACACTTGTCCTCAGTCAGAATTATGGACATTTGGCATCAGTGACAAGAAATCGAAGTCACACAGCAAAAAAGCAACTGAACCAGATTTTCTGACTATTGCTCCAATACTTTATTCACTTGGCAGTGCTTCATCCTTACAGAATCCATAACAGGTAGATGCCTTTCAGACAGGAACATGAAGACCCCAAATTATAACCTACCTCCTGCCTCCCCCTCCCCTCCCTCCACAAATTTTAGCTTTAAAACAACAATATTGCTAGTGCAAAACATTTTTAGTGTCATTAACCCCAGGGTTAGCTAGTTGGTTTGTGCAACTTTAAAAGATTATATCTCCAATTTAACTTAAAACAATTCAAATATGATAAAAACCCATAATGTGTGTTAGGGTGACAATATTTGGATCTTGGGAGCACTGGATTTGCAGCTGAATGAAGGCTTTACCTGTGGCCTAGCAAAAACTGCTGACCACAAGGCAGAATGATAGCTAAGCCAGCCATTGCTTATGCTAAGTAACCATCTTAATTGTATTAGCCATTTTTCTGAAAAAAGCAGCAAATAAGTCAGTGTGCTATGAACCAGCTACAGTGAGGAATGAGATAAGATACAGGGGCCCAAAAAAGGTGGAAGATGGTACAATCTGAGACTAAAAAACAGATTGGAATGTGAAAAACAACACTTAATTGATAACAGAATCCAAGATGAAAATATGCAAAAAGGTGAATGGTGATAGGTGAAGAAGCCTCCAGGTTTTGGTCAAAGTCTGCCCATTCACCGAAAAGCAGGAGTCAAGGTCTTAGACATGTGCTTATAGCAAAAAGACATGCAAATGAATAAAATGCATAGGCAATTCCATGCTAATAAAGCAAACAGTAAAACAGAGTGGAGCTTGAGATGGGAGCAAAAATGGGTGGAACAGAAGGAGGGACATTGCGGAATTAATGTTGATGAGTATAAACCAAAGTGTACAAACGTGGGGAAAAAACTATTGTTCAGTGCAGCTCCCTGGTTTGTTGGTTTTTTGGGAGTTAGTCTGAAGCTGTCTCCACTCTGAATAAAGTTGTTGCGAGCAATGCGTGCTGGTGTTTGCTCCCTGCTTGCTCTGGTTAATGGGCAATTGGATTGTCGTCTCCCTGGTTGTTGGGCACCGCATGGAGTCAGGGTCTAACAATATGGACATATCAATTAATAATAATAGTATCCATAATATAGACATATCAATTAATTCATGGGTTGAACCAGTTTAAATGAATCCACAGTAGAGATTCGGAGCAAGTTAACTGAATCAATTCCTCTTCAGTGAACTGGAGGTTAAAATTGTATACAGAAGACCCAAAGCCCATAAATTTCAAAGACCATGATCATAATTCCCACTTACCCTTACAACCACCACTTGCACAGAAACATGCTCAGGGAGTCGAATGGGTGCCCGGAAGTGCATGGCCAATGCTACCAGTAGGTGGAGGATGGAAATGAGATTCTTCCCATGGATCACTAAATTAAAGAGAGTTGAAATCAGCATTAGGGGCAGAGGACTGGAAAGGGCCTCCTGGGTCTGAGACCTGTCCCATGAACCCTGTTACACTAACGCTTTCCAAACAGTAACCAAAAGCAACTAGGATTAGAGGTGAGAGGGAGGGTGGAGGGGGGAGAAGGAAAAATTGAAAAACCTTAACTGGTTAGCACAACAATACCCCTTCAGGGCCTTTCCAATAATAGTCACACAAGAATTTTACAAATATTAAGGAACTCTCTCTAATACACTGGACATACAGATAAATATTACCTAAATTTAAAAACATGGAAATAGAGACAAGGGAAGGGGGAGCAGCAGTCCATAACACAATTCAGAGGCAAAGCCAAGAGCTTATTCCAGACCTGCCAATTCCCCATCCACTAGCCCCTTTGCAACACAATCATAAATTTCCTCAGGGAAAAGGTAAGGGGTCTTAGGAGAACATAAGATATGCACCAACATGACTAAGTTTTGCTTCATGAACACACATATATACACACAAGCATATCAACAAAACACAGGAAAGTGATTTAGATAGCACTTGCATGAAAGGCATGTTCACAGAAATGTCAAATTAAACTGGTTATATAAGTGAATCAGCACATCTCCTCAAACTGGCTCAGGTGCATTCAAATGTGCAAAGTCAGATCAAGTTACTGTTCATCAGGATAGATGATGCATTTCTGAAATAAGCAGCCCAAACCAAGGGGCAATCATTTGCATTTGCATCAGTAAACCTGAAGCAATCACACTGAAGCAGATGCTTCCCAGAGGGAGCTTACAGTCGACATTCCACTTGATCGTCCAGCCGTGGGGTCGGAGTAAATCATGGACAGCCTCCAGAACAGTCTGAAGCTTCTGTTTTTGGCCAATTTCTGACTGTGTCACCTCTGCCACATTCAACTTGCGGTCAGCTAGCTTTTCTATATTTAAGGAAACAGACAGAAAAGAAGGACATATCAGACAAGACATGGAGGAAAAAAGCAATTCAGGCTTAGAACTGGTCTGAAATTTTCTGACAGGATGGTATCCCTCAGAAAATGACTGTCAAAAAACAAACATACATTTCAGGTTATGTTTTGAAACAGTGTTGTTATGGAGCCCACTAGACAGGTTTTGGATCTTTCACTGGAAACCTGACTGATTTCCTGACACCTCCGTGCCCACTTGAAGGAATGTCTCATAGTCAGGCATGAGTTTCCAGATTCTCAGGCCAAGCAGCCCTGAGGTAGTACTATAAGTACTGGAGGGTGAGGAGTCAGTTGGATGACTTGGCAGCTGCTAATCAGCAATGGACAGCAATAAAATCAGTTAAATTGACCAGAATCATGACCATTTCAGCCAGTTGTTGTTTGGAATCCTAGAAGGAACCACCAACTCAGGCTGCTCCTCTAAGATCCAGGTAGAGAGCTGGTACCTTCCCTCCTCTTTCCCAAGCCAAGGAAAGGATGGTCAATTCACTGTGCTATTGAGATAGGAAGCATTTTTTTCCATTAGTGTTTTTCATCAGAAAATACCACTTCATCAAAATAGACTTTTTGGTGGGGAAGTAGCTTTACACACTTCCAATTCACTGCTTCCGAGATACCAAATACACAAGTTCAGGAGTAGATATACTGCTAGTCCAGCAAAGACTCTGCTTCTCTTTCATGCTGATACCATGGAGCTGGTGGAATCTCAGCTCCTCCCAGTGGTACTACTCATTCTCTAAATAAAATTTTGCAAATGATACTCATCTGTTCACTCAATCTGTCAGTCACCTGCTAATCTGTTACTCTGAGCAGTTTCAAAATTAGCCAGATAACAAATTTCACCTGTCACATTTCTTTTAAAAAACTTTAATGGTGTTATGAAACCTCCTTGGAGAATGTCTCACATCCATGGAACAATTACAATCAAAGTCAATGAGGGTGAATGTACTGATTTCTCTTGCACACAGAAGGGAACAAGGCTACAGTGCCCACACAGATTAAATAAATAGCCAACTTTACTCAAATACTGTGCAACCCAAGTAAAGGTGGCACCCCAGCACAATGCACCTCATCTCATCTTGTGTTAAATCATACAGCAAGAAGCCAGATTACTTCAGCCATGGTTGTATTGTTGAAGCTATCTAGAAACCACTGAGTGGAGCATGGGATTGGGACCCAAGGGCAATGACTATGATCCCTTGAGAAGCATTTGCAATAAAATCACAGTTCTAGCATGGCAAATAAAGGTGGGGGAAGGGGAGGGGCAGAGGGAGGGGAACGCCAAGGCAGCTAAGCTCTGATCCTGCAAATGCTTACAGACCTGCCTAATTATACTTACATGAGAAATTCCATTGACTTTAGCAGGGATATACATGTACATGAAGTTAAATGCATATTTTAAGTGTTCATAAGGTCAATTCCTAAGTGTTCTACCACCCCCACAACAGAAAGTAACTGACCTGTTATAACAGCTGCCCCCCTTGTGGAATACACAGCCCAGGCACTGCACATCTTCCCCTTACCTATCTTTTGCTCTTAGTCTGCAGTCACACGCCATGCATTCCTCCCTAAGCAGAGATGTCCCAGGTTCTCAGCATCCACCTGTCCCACTTCCCTGCCACATCAGACTTGACTTGTAGAGCACTGGCAGCACAAAGTACTCATTCTGAAGGGCTCACGAAGCAGCCGCTGAAGATAAAGCACCTGGATACAAGGATAGTTTCCTAGGGTCTCCTACACAGAAAACACCTAGCCAAAAGCTTCTGACTGATACTAACGTTTTGGGGAGAGGAAATTCATGTTAGATATGGATGGAAAAGTGGGACCACAACCAGAAGGGAATGCCAGACAGGCAATCCAATCAATGAATCCATAGATTCACAGCCAAAACTTTGTTCATACAGACAGTCTCAAGGAAGATGTCTCTTCTCTGCTTCTTGCACCCTTTGTTACCTGTCAGCTCTGTGTTCCTGAGGGAGCCCTGGCACCCAGCTTGCTGGACTAAGAACTTTTCTATTCCCCACCCAACACACACACCTCATCTACCCAAAACTAAGCAGAAGAAAAGTTTAGCAGGCATCTCGGGCCATACATTCCCCGGTCCCAGTATGGGAGGCCTATTTAAACTTGATTGACTAAAATTTGGTTGCTGGGTTAGGGAATGCTGAGGCAAAAGACCAAGTCAGAAGGGGTATGGGCGACATTTGAACAATGGTTAAAGATTCATCACAGTGTCCAGCCCACTGGAGCCTTGACCACAAATGCTGTCATACTTTTCCCAGGATGACTGGTGGAAGTCCTCCCCACAAAGTTTATGAACACTCCAAGTAATCCCCTTAAGCCTGCAAAATCTGAAAGTCATGCTAAGCTGAGGCTAATTCACAACAGGTAAAATACAAAACACTGATGGTGACTTCACAGTGAGAAGAAGCAATGTGGTATCCCTTCCAGTATATCTTCTATATTCATAATAATTTCAAGCTGGCTCCTAGGTGTCTAATTACTCCTTAAAACTTAATGTTTCTCCTGGTTGTTAATCAGTTTTTTGAGATGTTCCAAACCAAATAAACCCTTGTCACTGAAAAAGGTAATTCATTTAAATTTAAACTGTTTATATAACAGGATTTTCCCTGTCAATTATAGCTTGGGACCCTCTTGATTTACACAATTAAAAGAATGCTCTGAAGAGGCTAGACTAAGGGTATAAGTAAGCTTTAAAACAGCAAACAGTGTGCTTCAAGAGAGAGAAATCTCTCTGACACCATCCGCTGTTGTTCTCGAGAAGCTGGGAAAAACAGATTGTCTCCCTTCCACGATCGTGTTAGAAACTTTGCTTGTCAACAAATCACCCGAGTGCCTTGGAACGGTGAAATCCCAGTTCTTGCTCTCTCTCTCTTTGTCTTTCTCCCTCTTCCTCTCTCTCTTTTTCTTTTTCTCTCTAGGCATAGCTTTCTGAACCTAAATTGTATTAGTTAAGCTTGAGCTAGGTTTCCCCAAATACTCAATTAAACCAGGGTAATATTGTAATTGTTTTGTTTGTTTTTCCTTGCATGTCTATTATTACTAGTACCATTATACATTTCATATACTGAGCAATAAATAACTTTTATAGTCAAACTGGTGGTAACCAGGCATGTGTGCGCATTTGACTGATTTGACTAAAACTGAGTCCTGCAAGATAGCTCCATTAGGGCTAAGGACTTGCAGAAGGGAGAGATACAGATCCATATAGAAACACAAGTAACACAAGCAGCACATTGATAGAATTACAAAGACCCTAGAAACATATCCCTAATAAATGAGCACACCGTAAAGTGACGGGCAATTCTGGTAACACCCTCCTTGTTGCAGTCAAAACAACCCCTGTTAAAGCTTTCCCATTTTATTAAGCTCCCTCAGGCTGTGTTCTGAGGAGTTTTAATTGCACAATAAAGCCATTATTGTTAATCAATGCTTAAAAGCTTGCAAATGCTCATTAGAATACTGGAGAGGGCACTTTCTAAGTGGCATGTGAGGGTACACAGCAAGCAGCATCCATTAAGGCCAGTGAAACTGGCATGACTGAACTCCTTGACTCTATCTAGCTTGCTCCAAGAACAACCCATGGGGAGCTGTTTTCAATTCGCAAGTCCCAAGGACTAAGGAAACAGGCCTGCAACTCCCATTCACATCTCTAATGTTCTTCTGTAGTAGATTTGCCTAATCATTTGCCAGTTCAAGGTCTTTTCATGGCTTCAGAGATGCATCCCATGAACCACTGCACCATTTCCTGTAGTTCATCCTTTGAAGAACTCTGGAAGGATTCATGGGTGAAGTTATTGGTTGCCAATGGGAAAATGAAGGTAGAAGGGAGTTGCTGCAAATTACTCTACTAATTGCCACAAATAACTGAAGGCATCCCTCTTCCTACCCTCTCAGCCCAAGGCACGTAACAAAGCCACCCTAACTCAATGTCACACATTTTCCAAAAAACATTTTTAAAATAACAATACCAAACTGAAAAGACAAGCCATTTGGAATTTACAAAATGGCCCAAAAACTTCCAAGAACTGGGCACAACCAACCTAAAGTAAGGCTCCCTAGCTTGCTTTAATTTACAGGTGTGATGCCATGTCTCCTTTGCTTGTGTGCCTGAGCTGTCCTTAGAAGCTGGTTAGGTATCAGCAGAAAATAGGCACTTAAAAATATTTTTTAGAAACTACATGCTCACATGATCAGAAAAACCAAACAAGAAACCAGCCCTTTGGGCAAGATGACTCTCAGCTTTCGGCTTAATTCTGAACATTAGCAAAGCCCCTTGCTGTAGCATCAACTCACCCAAGAGCTTCTGCAGCACCTGTCCATCATAGAGGTCCTCTTCAAGTTGCTTGACAATGATTCGCTCTTCCACCAAGACATCATTAATCCAGTCAATTAGAACCTGGGAGAAGAGGCAGAACGCAAAAATCTAAATACTGAAAAAAGTCACTTTCATCACAGATGGTAGCTAGAGGAAAGATGACAAACAGAGTCAATGGCATGAATAATCATATAGTCTATAGAATTTAGGCTCCTGCATCGCTTAGCATTCTTTGGGGGAAAAGAAAGAAAGAAAAAAGTTGTTTTACTGTATTCACTCTTTAAACTTTTTAGTGGAATTTAGCGCTATGGCAAGACCTCATAAAGAAAAATGAAACAGTGACAGTGGCAGCCATTTCTTTTCTTTTTTTTTTTTTTTTTTTTTTTTTTTGGAAACCTGGCATCTGAAAAGGAAAAAAATAGCAAAGAATTATACAATTTATTTAATATGCAACCCATAACTTCTCTCCTGCTAAAGAAAGTGAGTATATAATTTCTACTTTAAAAGCCCTCAAAGAATGAGAAGAGCTGCAGTTTTTGTTTGGTTGTTGTTGTTTTTTTTTGGGGGGGGGGGGGG